TACAAAACCCGAATAGAAACATAGTCATTTATCTCTTGTAAACGGAGTCTTTATCTCATGTTTTGTCTGGACAGTAAAACAAAAAAGTTTTATTAGGCTCTTTTTTTTTAGTTAAGTTAAGTGAGCTTCTGCTAGATGCCCGGAGCATTATAGGGCAACTGATAAATTATTACTGAATGTTTTATCTTCGACAAGATCAAATTACGAAATTTACAGCAATGCTGACATTTACAGGAGATGTTTTGTTTTTGGTTCTGGGAATTTCGATTTGTTTTAAGTTTTGATAAGAGAGTCTTTCCGATGGCTATACGAGAATTACAATACATGAACTCTATGGCCCTGTTCACACGATACCGGATTCATTTCATATAGGATTTACTGACCCACGATCTGATCCGATCCGCGGATCATTTTCCGGAGTGGGTTTTCGGCTTTAGACATCTCTAAATCATTGTAACTTGTCGTTCTCATTTGATTTCGAAACTGCAATGAGAAACAAAAAGTATTTTCAACTCGACAAATGGAAACAGATGCTTAAGCGCTTTGGGAAAACCAGGAGATGGAAATGAAATTTGCATATTTACCCAGGCAATTAAATCATTGTGTGTGAAAAGGAAGAACCGCAGGATAGGCTGTCCGCCGGATTCTGTGAATCTTGCAATGAGTGTTGTTATGAAAGATATACAGGAACAAAGCAATACGACGACGAGAATCCAATGTCACGAAATAAAATTTTCAAAATAAATTAAATTTAAAGAATATACTAATATTTCGCCCCGGCATACAGGGCTTCATCAGATGATCTTTCAATTAAATCATTGACACGATAGCCCTAGGCACCAGTGGCGCAGCCAGAGCGGGAAGATTTGGGGGGCAAAGCAGTAAGGAATATAGCAGGGGGTCCGGGTACCTTCTTAAGGGAATGGTCTAATAAATAAAATTAGGAATTCTGGAAAACGGCTCTTTTAGATGGCTTATAATGAGCTACGCCATTTGTACATGTCCAAGTTGGTTAATCAAAAGTCACACTAAAAATATTTGCATCACAATTCCTCTCAAATTTTATTTTCTGAATCTTGTCAGGTGAAAAATTTCTCTGTTGATAAACGTTTTTTCAAAGACGCGATGTTTTTCAAATTCATGAAACTGAATAAATAGCTAATTTATTCCATACTACTTAGCTGTTACAGGGATGGTATAATCGCCAATCGGTAATCTAGTTTAAACGCTCTTATTTATATATTTTATTGCCATTACACATGGAAAAATTACCCTTATTATTAGCAATTAAAAATAGATATAAAAACTGAAATAAGCTATAATTTATTACAATTTATTTGCCGTAATTTTTGTAAAAGCAATTATTGCCAATAGCACTTAAAGGTACTGCTTCTAGGGATAGAGTGAGGCCTGTTAGGAAGTTACAGGATGGTTGCATAAGCGCCAGCTGTATATGGGGTATCTGGTTCCTTGAGCCTTTCCCACTGCCAGCTGTTTAGAGTGGGAACCTCTTGCAAATTCTTATTTCAAAGAAGCTTTCCAACGAACAATTAAACAACACACTCTGATAAAGCCTTGTATACCGTGTAGTCCAATTCTGAAGTCAATTTTTGAGAGAGATCCATGGATGGCGAGATACAAAATCAATGACGTCAACCCGGAAAGGAGAATTCGCACACAGAAAATTTCAGCTCGAGGTGTTGAAGAAAAAGCGATGAATTGTGGGACGTCTTCTATTGTGTTTTGGACAATCATGATCATAAAGCGTGAGATATTCACCAATGTCGAAAACACAATGAATCTCTTCTCAGCCCGTGTTGGACGGCATCAATGACATTTCTGTCACTGAATCGTTCAGTGTCGGTATTATCTTAATCATCTAGGCTTTCGCTACGCTACTGCTAGGCACGGGAAAAGGACTCCCTCTATTATTTAAAAACTATTGAACTCTTGCCAGAAAATTGTTTTATGCATAATCTTCGAGTAAAACCATCATCCCTACCCAGCATGAAAGAAAAACAAGTTTTGTCCTGAAACTCATTAAAAGCATTCCTCTTCCTCTATTCAAATCCAGAAACCAAAATTTCAAGTTTTTTGAGTTACCGTATCCTCTCTAGTGAGCGGTGGGTCTTTCATTTAATTTTTGGCCTCACAGAGGGGGTGCTCATTACAGAGGGGGGGGGTGGGTCATAGAAATTAGATAGAAATCCACCAATCAAAACTGAGCTTTTTAAAGTAGAACGATCATTGTTTTTGCAAAAATTAGTATTTCATTTGCATCACAGTTGTTAAAGGCAAAATATTTACAAGACGTCAATTTTGTCCGTGTCGGATCCCTCGTCGATTTGCATATACTGGTGTAGCATATCGAGTATCTAAATTTTCAGTAACATCGAGTGGATTTTTACCTGGTTTTGTCCGGTTTAGAGAGAACTTTCCCAACTGAAACAGCATAGTTTTCTTAAATATGTTTAGCTGATGACCGACTATTGCAATGATTTTATGGTCTTCATCAATTTATATAACTTTTGCGGGGCGTTCATTGAAGAGGAGCGGTCATTTAACTATTTGCTCAAAAAGGGTGTTAAAGAGGGGCGCTCATTGGAGAGAGGTATGGTAAAAAGTCTTTACCACTTTTGTAAAATCTCTTGTTTAGTTATCAACTCATATATTTTCGTTTGACCTTGTGCTTGATAAGATCCGGAAAAATAAGCATGGGCTCCGACTCAGGTTGGAAAGTGGGGGNGGGGGGGGGGGGGGGGGGGGGGTTCATAGAAATTAGATAAAAATCTACCAATCAAAACTGAGCTTTTTAAAGTAGAACGATCATTGTTTTTGCAAAAATTAGTATATTTGCAAAAATATTTACAAGACGTCAATTTTTTCCGTGTCGGAACCCTCGTCGATTTGCATTTACTGGCGTAGCATATTGAGTATCTAAATTTTCAATACCATCGAGTGGATTTTTACCTGGTTTTGTCCGTATTAGAGAGAACTTTCCCAACTGAAACAGCATAGTTTTTTTTAAATATGTTTAGCTGATTACCGACTATTGCGAAGATTTTATGGTCTTCATCAATTTATATAATTTTTGCGGGGCGTTCATTGAAGAGGAGCGGTCATTTAACTATTTGCTTAAAAAGGGTGCTCCTTAAAGAGGGGCGCTTATTGGAGAGAGGTATGGTAAAAAGTCTTTACCACTTTTGTAAAATCTCTTGTTTAGTTATCAACTCATATATTTTCGTTTGACCTTGTGCTTGATAAGATCCGGAAAAATAAGCATGGGCTCCGACTCAGGTTGGAAAGTGGGGGGGGGGGATGCAAGAGAAATTTAACACACACAAAAAGATTTTTAAAAAAGCTCTTTTGTTTTTCAAAAAGTGGGGGGCATGGCCATTTCCAATTTTTGCCTTTGTCAGAGTCAAATTGCCTGGAAAATGCAAATTGCCTGCCTCTTAAATTTAGCATTCTGGGCCTTTTTCAGCAGCATTTTTGTAGCCTTAGCCAAGACTCCAAACAGTTTGGGGTCTTGAACTCAGGCTACAATTTTTGGGAGGTTCCTTTGCTTTATACTAACTTTAACACCTTAAAGACCAAACAAATTTTAAATGCAAAGAGCAAGACTACACAGTGTGGACCCAATATGTCAAATAATATTGCCAGACCTAATGATTAGCGAAATGATTTTTTAAGGCGCAAGTTTCTCAGTTTCTTGTTTGAGTTTGTTAAATTAAGAAATATGCTCTTGCGTGAAAATATAAACTACGCTTGCGCAGTGTATTTTAGGAAAGTTTTTTTGTTTTGGCCTTTCTATTCGCATTTGGCCTTAGTTTGTCATCCGTCTGGCCTTCTTTTGTAATTTCCATCTGGCCACCCTGCTTCTGCATTATCAAATATTCAAGCTCTCTAGCCATTATTAAAACCAATAGTTTGCTTTATCCACATTGAAAAAATTATAATACCATCCTCTGTGAAATAGTTGTCTCGCCTCCTGTCAGTTCTGGGAACAAAATAACTAAGGTTGAAATGAGATGCTTAAAAGAAAACAAACTTTATAGGAAATCTTACTTGTTCAAGGACTTGTTTCATAACTGACGGAATCGTGGTATTTACTTGCAAGCGGTAAATCCAGTAAAATCTTGGGTATTCCTTGCTTTTTACGTGAAATTTCTTGACTTCTAAGTTCATCTGAAGACAGTACCTAATCAATCGATACTGCGTTGGTTTAGCAGCCAATTCTTTATAATGCATTCTGGACATGCACGCTTTTCACACAAGATGGCATTCTTACGAGGCAACTTTGCTTTCGATTGCTTTCTCTTGAGACGATTCTCTTTTGGATTTGTGTTAGCTAAAGCTGGTTCGTGGGAGTCGGGCGGTTTTTCTAGTCTAATCCCTGGCTCGGATTAATAGCATTGGTGCTTGGTGCGTAAATTCCATTAGTAATCTCTGATTTTCAGAGGTTTGAAAGCTGACGACTTGCATCGATGTTCCTCTACTGCCTTACCTACTATGCCTTAACTTCTGCAATAAGATGAGTTTGGTTTTTAAACCGTCTTTTGTACTCCCATCTCCAGTTCTCCCCCCCCACCCCCAAGTCGCCTACCTATTATATAATGATGACTGCCTTCCATGAAAGAAGTTTAGGGAAACTGAAACTCCATAAAACATGCATGGTGATTGGAATTGAAAGAACCTTTTGATGATCCCAAAACCTGGATATATGGTCTCCAATATTTATGTTTTTACTTAAAATAACCAAACAAAATAATCAGCTTATAAAAGCGCAATATTGTCACTTTCCAGGCCTTTTTGTACCCAGGCTGCTCGAGTCTCCATTACTTAGACTCACAAATTCAGTTCAAAACTAGTCACATAAATTTTGAGTGAGGATTTTGTCACCGCAGCTGTCTACAATACTCTATCCTCGGATTCGTGAGGCTCTGGTACCCAGGGTAAGATTTTTGAAGAATGGTTATGATAAACTTTGCTTCAATTTTCTGTTCCAAATAGCATAATTTTTATTTTGCAAATATACCTACAAATATATATATAGAATACCCATCTCAAGTTTGTGAGACCTCTACGGTTTATTCCACAGAGTCTTGATATAATACTGACTTTTTACTGACGATGAAACTTTGCTTGGTTGCAATAAGGAAGCAAATAAAATTTAGGCCACCAGACCCCAGAAACCCTACGCAGACAGGAAAGAACAACCAAAATCTTATTTATATTCTAAACAATAATTGCATAAACCCGTCCATGTTGAAATCGAGAAAGAAAATAAATGACATTCCAGTCTTGTGTTCTACCCTAAAGTTCTAAATGTCAAAATAAGACAAAATAGACAATAAAACTTACAAGCAATAAAAATTAAACAAAATAAACAAATTTCAGCCTGTTAAGCTCAAAATATCTTTTTATCACAATGATTTGTCGAATATAATAAGTAAATGATCTGCCCATACAAACAATTAAAGAATTTAAACAAAATTATAAAAATTCAATTATTAAGATCTCAGTGTTGAACAGTGCAGATCTCAGTGCAGTGAAGTTGTTCAAATCATCTCAATTTATAAAATTACAAGAACCTACAAATCATCTTTAAATCAACTGATCTGTTTAATTCCAAAGTTCAGCACTAAGAATCTTAATGAAATTAAAATAAATGTAACTTTTAAATGCTTAAGTTTAGAATCCCAAGCCATCTCGACGTAAGTATAAAAATCAAATTACTGCAGTACACTCTTTTTTATAAGAACAATTAAAACTTCGCCCAGCCTAAATATTAGCATTCAATATTCGTTCTGTGCCTGACTATATTCTCAAATTATTATCTCTTTTTGAAAATCTGATATGGTTCCAGGGGAACTTCGCCAACCTTTGAATAAAAACCATACTTCTTAAAAGACGAGAAACGTCACTCATGCGTTTCTCTGCTATGAACATTGCAAAACAAGCAAATGCTGAAAATAGGACACAAAAATGCGAGCTGAGGATAAGTCATATTAAAAAATATTCTTAAAAAATTTGGCCGACTCTTAGCCTGAATATTCCTATAAAAGAGAGTGTACTGTGCACTTGCAAAACATAACAATATAAAAGAATTGAAAAAGTCTGACAATTGCACAACTTTTTTAACAGTCAACGAAAAGTTAAAAGCTAAATGGGCAATGCTAGTTAATTATAAGCATTTTTGACGCTTCACTTTCAGCAAATGAAGAGGCGTCAGACTGGTTGTCTAACTCGTCGGCACGACTTTGTCGTCTGTCTGATCCGACATCCGTACAATCTATTTGCTGATTTCTCCCGAGTTTGCATCCATCCGCATGAGTCTTATTTGTGTTTGATTCTATGCCTCCATGATTATCCATAAATCCTTCCTCTTCTTCAATATACTGTGAAATAACTGTTAACTTCTGATCTGCCACTTCGCACTCTTTAACATTACAGTTGCTTAAAACACGCCTTTCTGCCTGACAGTGCCCTTCATTTTGAATAATGTAGTCAACAAAACTCACCGACTGATAAACTCCATTGGTTGTCGTATTCTTTGCCAATGAGCTTGACCCTTCCTGTGGAACACTGGTGCTTTGTTCCTCTCTGCTCCTACTGCTTAACAAATCAGTGACGTCATGCCCTTCGTTGTGTATGTGTCCTTTTCGGCTAATTGTCTCTGTCTCGCTTGAACCGGTCGAACCACCAATGTGATCATGTGCCCTGGTAGCCTGCATGTTACTATGCCAAGAAAAGCCATTAGACAGAGTATTGTTGTATGGTTTTGAATTTGAATCGGCTTGGTGAAAGTTTGCCTAGAAGTAAATAATTTCTGTAGAAACAAGTTCTCTTGAAAATGACCTTGTCAAAGGGTACTGGAAAAATATATATGATTATTGCCTTGGATAAGAAGGAGGAGAACAATTTACAAAAGCATACTAGTAGCCTCAAAACTTTAATCTGATCTTTCAATCCAATATACTTTTCACAGCCCCGAAGCAGCTTGAAAACAAAACAAGGAAACTATTCCTATCACCTTCAATATATAGTTCTGCGGACCGTTAAAACTAACGGGCGAGCTTGTCTATAATTGGGTTTCTTTTGGTATGTCATCCGCTAGTACGAGCCAAAAAATATTCTATAGGTAGGTAATTCTTATAATTTGGACAACATGGTTTGGATTGCAGTATTTTTCAAGGTTACAAAAGATTATAAAAATGCTACTTTCATAAAAACTAATTTATTTAAAGACAGCTTTTTCATATCTGCATTCAGCAACAGCACTGTACTGAAAAGGACCAAATTGTTAGCTTAACTAAAGTTAGAGGAAAATCCTTCAATTGTATTTACCTGGGAGCAAGGAGCTGTTGAAGGTGCTTTGCTGTAGGAAACTGTGGTCCTATGAGTTGTTGATTGCGAAGAAGCAAAAAGATATCCATTAGCAGAAACATTGGTTGCAACTGGAGCTGCAGGAAGGTAATGGCCTTGCTGATGTTCCATTTGCTGGTCAACTAGCATTTTAAAGTTATTCACTTCCTTTCCTTGCCTGAAAACTCCAGAATGTGGACTTACAGATGCATATTTCAAGCTCGGTTTGGTAGCATCGGTATGTTGTAGAGTATACCCAGGCTTTTGGTACATGTAATCAAAATTGTCACAGTTTTGGTTCACAAAAGGAACGGTTCCGACGGGATCGAAAGCTGGGTACATGAAAGAGCGTCGTTCTTCCAGTTGCACGAGCCATTCTGCCGCAGTCAGTAATTCAAAATTGGTATCCTCCAACACTGAATTGATAAAAATATCTGAAAACTGTGGGAATAATCTAGCTAGTAGGTTTAGATATCGGAATCGTAACCCACCTCTGCTGTCTTGAAGGTGGTTTGAGTAGAAGCATGGTGCATTAGCTTGTACAGAATCTTGCTGGTGTTGCCTCTGTTGGTATGTATGCCACATACTTGGATGATGTAGGACGGGGTTGAAATGGTGCTGCGAGGGAGCTTGCTTCGAATGTACCGCGTGGTTGTTCAGCATTCCAGAAAATTGATCAGGCAAATATGGGCCTGAGAAAAGCATGTTTTGCTTACTAAGAATTTCAGCAGCGGAAGATCTAGCAAATGTGCTCGGATACAAGTTAAAAGCTTGCCCAGATAATTGCTGCTTGTTTTCTCCACGGCATGCAGTTGTGTCTAATGGTGAAGAGAAGTTGTTTGTCGAGTGTGAATGATTCTTTGAAGTAACTGAAGTTCCATCATTTGGTCCTAAAATTAAACAAGATCGAACAAATTTATTCAATTGGTCCTAAAAAGATGTTTTATTAATTGATTCGTAATTTTGAGTTTTCAACTAACCGTGATGAGGTACCCTCTTTGAAGGAAATCACCTTCTGAAAACCTACTGGTCACCTTGTTGCGCATTTTGTTGATTTCTTACAAACAAGCAAGAACTAGAGTACTTCCCTGATTATATCTCAGAACAGACAAAAACGCTGAGATAAATTAACCTATGCAAAATATAGGCATCTTTAAAAGTTTAAAAGGCAATATTTAGATTTAAGGCAATCGTTCATCGAAAGGTATTACCGAATCCTGAAAGAGCAAAAATGTCTTATTGAAATGGGAGATAAATACAAAAAAGCAAATAAAAAGGATTTTACTTACGGGAAAATTAGGTAAAACTTTTCAAATTGAAAAATTAAAGCTAAACAATAGATGGAAATGATTCACATAACCCTTCCTCATTACCGTTTGCCATGCGTGAAGGTGTTTCCTCTTCTTTAAAGCGTGAGTCAGCTGAAAAAAGCCTCTTGTCGTCTTTGCAGTAAGACCTGGAAACTGGCTCTTCCCGTTGCAATGCTGTTTGTGCTGCAAGAACTCTCTGTTTTTCACCCTGCAGTTGGCATTTCGAGCAAGAACAGGCTCGAAACGGGCAACTTTTCTTGTGGCCTCTTAGTAGTACCAGAATGCCATGATTTTTACATCTCGAACACCTTAAGGTTTTTCGCTGTTTCCCAAGAACTAGCTCTCGTGCAATATTTCTGTTCTTCATGATTTGATATTTATTTTTATGCCTCATTTGTACATTTAACTCACTAGAACTAAAAACTGCTCAAAATTCCGCTATTAAACAAGAATATTTTTGAAACTGCACGTGGAGAAATATATATTTAGGCTTACAAAATCACGTGATTCGATACGTTGAATCGAATTTAAGAACTGAAGCCAAGACAATGCTATTTTAAGATCTCAAGGGAAATCAATTTGTGACATATTTTCATGGCACGAGAAAAGTGTCAAAATAAGGATATGAAAATGGCAACATGATAGACTTAAAATGTTATTCGTTACAATAGTTATAATTATGGCCGTTGGCAATTGTCTAAATTTATACATTTTGTCACAGGCTCAACCAAAAACTAGAAATTGGAAAAATGACTATAAAATTCATTGAAGCCTTCGAACAATCATTATAGACAAAGGGGCTAAATCTTTGAATGAAAACTTTGCTACAATAAAGCGCGACTTTTAATATCATCAGAAACATTTGTTTCAAAATCATAAGTTATGCTCATGCAAAAAAAGTTGGAAGTAGACTTGGAATCACTGTCGAAAATTGCTATGGAAATTTTTTCTGGTAAAAAGGAAATTTCAGGCTACACATATGCGACTTTTGAGAGGAAAGGTCACATTGTGGTCAAAATGAACTTCAATTTGGAAGCATAGGTGTCAATACCGTAATAGCTTTTAAAAATTCATCAAGAGCCTGGTATCCTGTTAGAATGGATAATATATTTGATATAAGCACAAATTGTTGGCCTGTCCAATGATACTCAATTGGTTTACTACAATTTGAACCATAATTTAATTTTTTCAATCCAAAGATTTAAAGCGTAGTTATAGCTCTCTTGTAAAAATGATTTGAACCATTTTAAACTAAATAGAAAGACAGTTCGCCCCTTTTGGTTGTCAATCCTGGCATGTTACCATTTCTCTAACTTCAGAGACTTACGAATTCTCTCTCACAGCTTTAGTTTTAAAAATCCCTTTTTGATTCGCAATGGAAACCACACATGGTTGATTTTACAAATTCAGTGTAACTTTTAACATATATTTGTAATCCATAAGAGTAGCTTGTGATTGTCGAGTAGTTAGGGTACCTAGTCAACTCAAGTTTACATTCTGAATGATAATTATACGACTTGTAGCCAAGTCAGATATGACGTCAGAATGAAAATTGGCTCTATAAGAAAACTGTGTGTTTAATCAATTTAAACTTATTAAGTAATCTTATTTCCATGAAAACAAAGAAAGATAAAAATAATTATTGACTTTTTCATAATATGGATACTGTTTGTTGTATATCATATTTATAGTACAATTATAATGAGTGCTTAAGTACAAACTAAAATGTATACACAGATGAATAAATTACAAAATCCTATGAAATATTAACATCAAAATGCTTGTACATGCAAATAGTCGATATATTTTGGATTACCTAGAGTTTCTTGGAAATTTCAGGAAGGTGGAAATAGGAGAGAGATAGTAACATACAGCGGCAGAATTGGCGTTGCAATTTTGAGAATCTGTTGGTATAAAAAGAGAGGTTATTCTACAAAATCTTACTTACTGAAAGATTAGAGTATTGACAACAAAGCTATAGAGGCAGAAAGTGTATCGCGGGATTTTTACTAACAAGTGAAAACATTTCAAGTAAATGGTAGACAATATCCTAATAAAGTACTTAAAAGTTTATGACCAAGAAAGAAGAGAACAAGATTGGCAACAATACATGAATCGTAAACAACGGTTGCTGCCAAATTGATGTCGTCTTCAAAAAATACAAAGTTTCAAAAATATTAAATATTTTTACAAAGTTTTTTTTCCAATTAGAAGCGAAATGAACTGATCAAATGATAAATGAAACATATCTACTAGATTTCTTGTAATTTGAAAATAACAGCGATCAGCCAACTTGTAAAGCAAATTCGGCATTAAGTATTAAGTAAGAACTAAAAGACAAAACTTCGACACAGTTTGGAATTCCCATGTGAATTTGGGTATTTACAAAAACGTTCTGCTATAAGAATGGAACTCTTCACCAATGTTCCGTGCAAAGGTTTCTTTTTTAAGCCCAAAAGATACTTATGAGACAAGTCAATTTTTATTTAGAACACTCAGCACAGCATAGAAACCCTGTTGATAATCGCCAAAATGAAAACAAGCTCAAAGTTTGTGATTTTGAGTAAGGAGAATACTATTGGTGTAAAACTTAAGCCAAAATTTCATAAGATATTTCCAACTTTTCATTTGGAACGCATTCTTTAGGAATTAAATCAAGACTTACCTCACTTCTTTCACTTTTGTTATTCAAGCCAAAACACTGGGATTTAGGTCCTTTAAAAGATAGTGAGAAATTCGTTAAAGTTACTTTCAAATTCTAACTGCAGAAAAATGGTGAAATTTTACGAATTCATTGATTATCAGAGCTTTCTCGGATATTTATGCAAATTTTCACCCTAAAAATGCATTATGCCTACTCCATGTAAAATTCCATTTTTGACCCCATCTTTCTTCGAAAGCATATCAAATTTCAATTTAGTTGCCTGTTCCTCTATTAAAAATAACACTCGTTTAAACTTCAATATTTCATACGATATTAAAAATTATAAAAAACCATTTAATCCAAACGCGGGATTCATTTTTCGTTTCTAAAGTACAGGGCTATACCAAAGGGCCATAATTGAAGCAAACAATACTTCGTAAGTTTAATTATTGTAAAATAACATACCAAGACTTTTTATGAAAAACGATTCTCCGTCAACATATTGAGCTTTTATTGCATATCTCACCTGGAACAAGGAACACATTTTAACAACGTCAAAATACAGCAATTTATGCTCCAACTGATAATAAGCATATCAAGAAAAGGGGGCAATAGTAACAACTTGTGCGTGAAGAATGGCACGGACTCTAATCGCGTTATGAAACGTCGGATAATTACAACTCATCTTCTTTTTACTATATCAATTACCGCTGTTAATATTACTATAAAATAACAAATATCTTTCTACAATGGACAATACTAAGCAAGTAAAACTAAACCTAACTAAAATTTGTTAAAGAAATTAGTTACCTCTCGATCATATCTCACTGAGAAAGTTTGTCTGTCCGAAATTCTTTTCGAAACGAAGGGGTCAGTTGGCTTTAGACGCTGAAAAAGGTTTTCAGTGAAAGAATAATTATTGCCTCTGTGATTTAAAAGCAATATTTTGGGGATGTTGCTTTAATCAGAAAACTTTCATTTCAGATAGCAAAGGTTACGTGTACGCCAAGTTCAAATGATGTCAACGAAAACATGCCAAAATCCAAGGTTTACTCAGATTGTCATGCAACATGGAAAATGGTTTCCTTATCTATGAGGTTATAAGGAATATCTATTCAGGGCCTTTTCCTTTAGCTGTAACCTGGCCATGAAAGCTGGTAAATTCTATGTACAGTTGACAACCCTCTGCTTGCCTGCCAGCTTTCCCGAACATTTCTCCAATTTCCCTCGTTTTTATGTAAAGGTTTACATAGAAATGTCATTCGCTCTCTAGACTAGCCGTTTTCTCGAAAACAGAATTACCTGAGAGTTTGAAAAATTGCACTGGAGTGACAAACCAGTATCATTGATTGCGACTCAAAGTTTAAATTTTCATAAATACAGATGGATCCGAAAAAAGAAATCTTAATGTACTTAATCTTGAGTGAATGTAAAGGGGATTGAATAACAAAAATCTTATGATTCAACAACATGGAAAGAAAAATATTAAAAAATTTTATCTACCTGAATGAAGATGTGGCATTGACCATCGTCGTCAAATTCGGCAAAAATATCAAAATGAAAACCATGTAGAGATATGATTTCACTTTGAACGAAATTTGGCTAGAAAGAAACAAAACATGGGGTTATTTTGCATAATCCAAGAAACATTGGGGTTCTCAACTAAAACATTTTTATGTTCAGTTTGTTTATATTAAGTTGCATTATTTATTTATTAAATCTATGAGTAATTTCAATAAAGTAATTTCAATGCAACTAACAAAATCTCTACAGCTTGTTACAGCGCAGCAATTCGCCCATTCGGCGCTTAGTTCGACAAAAGAAGATGTACAATGTTAAGTGCCCATGCAATGTTCACATAACTGCGTACAATGACAATTAGCTACCGTATGCCCTTTCTCTAAACACCTAGCGTACAGATAAAAATCGCATATTCAACAACATTCCATACTCTTACTATATATGCTTTAAAAAATAATATCAGGTCAACTAGACACTGGCAAAGGTCTTTAAGTGCCTGTATCACGACTTTCGTACTTTTGGGTTTATATATCTATTCTTATGTAAAAAGGCCTGTTATTTTCATTTCTGAGGTTATTTTTTACGTTTCGTGAGAAATGAAGGGGTTATTGGCGAATAAAAAAAATCATGTCACAGGCACTTTAATGGAGATTAGCCACTTATCTATACGTTCGAATCATCGAAACTTAGAATAAACTCTTTATTTCGCATCACTACGTACCCTTTCTAGAACTTTACTTTTAATGAATTTCTTGAGATTTCAAATTCTACTTTCTTTCCCTCACACAATGAACAGGGCCCACGCTACCGGGGGGGGGGGGGGGGGCAGCGTAGGGGCCATGGCACCACCACTTTTTTGGTAAGCAAAATATTTCGATAGAGGCCCTGTTTTGAAGCACTAAATTCAAGTTCGATATATATAACTTGACCCCTCCATCTTGAAATTCGTGATGTGGGCCCTGATGTATTCCCAGCATGCCATGCCAGCAATAAAAACAAAAATCTAATATCTATGACGATTCAGAATCAAGTTAAAAAGTATAAAAATTATTCTGACCTCGTCGATCATAAATCCATATCGTATGGCACCATCTTCAAATCTGGTCAATAAAGACATGTCACCACCGCCTTGAAGCTACCGAAAGACAACAAGACAAGTTTAGGAAGAATTACACTGACTAAAGTGTACTAAAATGCAAGGATACATAATCTTAACAGAATACGTAGAAAAAAGCCAATTAGTCACAAATTTCAGTTGTGTAGAAGTACCATAATGCTAACGTGAAATTAATCATAACAAATTACTGATGAAAAGTTTTTAAATAAATGGTGCAATGTTCAATTCCATAAAGACAGTGCACCTATTAAAATTTTGCAAGCCTATGATACACACAAAGTGTTGTTATTTCAAGTGTTTACAAAGCGTTTATCAGAAGTTATTTTACAATGTTATTGATAAAAGACTCAAGACATAAAGCTCGTATAAAAAATTTGAAGCCCTTTCGATTTGTTTCATGTCTTCTAGATTTTCATAGGTAGACAAGAACTATGTTCCACTTTTTAAGCAATGAATTGAACAGTATCAATTTAATTAAATCATTCATTTTGTGTTTGCAGAAATCTTTAAAATTTGAGATATCCTCAAAAAAGCTATACAAAAATAAAACAAAATCTCTAAAACAAAATAGAAGTAGTATCTTTATTTTGCTTGAAGGACAGTCAAAAAGTAAAATATTATAGAGCTTTTCAGACTATGTTCAAAAACTTTTATTTTCCTTACTGAATAGAAATGCGACGAGAAAACTTTCAGCAGCCAGTCTGAAGGAAATATGTTCATCTTGCTGATTTCATCTAACTGTCCAGCTAAAAGGGGGTAACAATGTGACGATTACATAATTGATTGCTATAGCAAGGGAGAACAAATATGGAAGATTAGTTCCCTGAATTGAAACATGAAACAAATCTACACCTTTATCTGCTGCTATTGCAAAATGCACAATTCAAGACAACAGTGGTGACCAATTCTCCATGGCTGACAGAATTTGAAACCCTGGCCATTTAACCCATAATCAACAGCAACAAAATTTGAATAGCCCGCTTTCAAATCTCACGAAGCTGATAAAAGTTCATCGTAACGGTTAGAATCTACACGCAGGCTAATAAAAGTACGATCTTAAATGCTTTCTAAATCACTTTTCGGAGATGACTTTGCACTTTTTCTTAAGGAAGACCCTTCCATAATAATTGCGACATTTTTTCCTTTGAGCAGTTATTCATTGTGGCAACATTAATTTGCAGAAAAATTCTTGAATGGCTTATCATGGCACCAACAAAAATTGTATACTTAATATTTTCATAATTTTGAAATAATCTTTATGGAAACATAAATTATTGGTCATATTAAAAGATCAAACAAGAAGACAAATCAGTATTTATAAATATTGATATGCTGGCGCTTCGTAACTTTGGTAGCCAATAAAGCCTGTTTACGAAGCTTTTATAAAAACCAAAGCTGCTCTTTTGTCTGTTGTAGCAATTTGCAAAAAGTGATAAGTAAATACTCCTTTACCTAGGTCACAATGAACACTTATAATAATAATTTTTGTAAAGTTAATTATTTTGATTAATAAAAAACTTTTACTGTTGAAACTGATTTATGTTATTTAACCACAACTTGAAATCGGGCTGTAAATATTTTATTTCTAGGCTAACATATTTAGGCTAATTTTTTTGCTAATATCTTAAGCTAAAATCTCATTGACTTCCAATTCAGAAACATTTGCCCTGTAGTCAAGGAATATCTTAATTCTTTTTTCCCCTTGTGACAGCAAAGTGCAAAATATTGAGAGCCAGAGCTTAAAATTCTTAAGCAAAAACAGATTCCATTGATTATGAAATTTAATGATTCCAAATTATATGAAAAAAGCAAAATCTAGATACTTTGATACAAATCAGCGGCAAATTGAGAAACCATTTTATACCAATTGCAATGAATGAGACAAATAATCGACTCACGATTCGTTATTCCTTTCAGTCGAAGATTCTCGAACAATGAATGAAAGCGTCTTCCCTTAAAAATATAGGCATAGAGACTATAAAGCGGAAATATCATACTAGAATATCATAAATACATAGCAATCTAAGAGAGTCTTGCTTCTTTGACTATTTGAAGAAGGAACAAGCAAGAAGCAAGAAGCAAGAGGCAAGAGGCAAGAGGCAAGAGGCAAGAGGCAAGAGACAAGAGGCAAGAAGCAAGAAGCAAGAAGCACGAACAGGTCGAGTTTGTAAAATAGCCAAATAACAAGTAACGGCACGAGTCAATCGTAAACTCTTATTTTTATATCTAATAGCGATGAATCTACTACAGCTAATCTACTAATTTACTCAGAAAACAAAACAATTTCTATAATATCTATTGCAAAGAAATATTACCTCATCCGACTCCAAAAATGACACAGTGATTGGAATGCTACAAGAATGCAAATTAAAATTAAATACGAAAGCTCAAATATGAAAATTAAATTCGAACTTTCAAATCGTGTGTTTATATAAGCTTAATGTACATGGAGTTGCCTGTAGATAAGATCTAATCGCGAAACTCGGAATTTTAGCTTAGAACCGTCTGGGTCTGCTAGTTTAAGCATTCACAGCTCTGCCTATAAAGTATCAAACACTTTATGACAGACCGTTAAGCAGTAATTTGCATGCTTGGTTTAGTTATCTGTACATTGATGGCAGTTAAACAATAATGGAGTAGTACTAGGAATGCTGAAAATTGAGTTACATCGCCATTGACGAAACACCTTTTTAAGTCTATACGGTAATCTTTTACGCCCTAAAACAAGCCTTAAAGTACTGAGACTGGTTTTGCAAGTCATCGCTTTCATTAAGATGGTAATGCAAAACAATCCTAGGTAAGGAAGCAATTGCAATTATATTTTATGACGAAAAAGATAATTTATGTTCCAAAATTCAATGACAGGCTGTCGTTAAAATGTCTCTCGCAGGGCCGTAAATCCCGGGGGGGGACTGGACCCCCCCCCAAAAATCTGGAGCAAAACGATTTTTTTGGAGAAATTACCATCATTTTCCTTGAAAGAAATAAATCCCTGGTAGCCGGGTTAGAATCAAACTACGTTTTCTGTGTTATTGCAACAAACCTCAGCCACTAAGGTTATTTTTGAAGCAGAGTGGTTTTCATAATTTTTACAAGATAAAAACCTTCAGTTTTCTACCGTTTTTTACTGTTTTCTACTGTTTTCTACCGTTAATTTCATTGTTGTATTTTATTAAATTTAGTCTGGGGGATGCTTTTTTAGCCTCTCTAGAAGGTAAAATTTCAAAAATTTTCTTCCACGTCGGACCCAACCATGGTGGGTCCTCCTACGACAGTAAACTTTATTCTTAACTCCCAAGGTTCAATTTCTTGGGGCCGTCTCTGAAAAATGTTATTCATTCAATTATCAACACAAGTCAATGTACTAAGGAATATCTGTAAATACCTTCTATAGAGCAGAAAGCTTTGAGAAATCCAAAAATATTGACTTTTGTTTTTAAAGTAAATTGCCCCTCAACTGTTTCCATAACACATACCATAAATCCCTTGTGGTGCCATGACCTACTGCATACTTTATATTCATTCGCGCTGCTGAACCCCCCCCCCCAATTCACATGACAGATTTACGGCCCTGGTCTCTCGGGAAAGTACGAACCTCATAAACCATGTCACTACAGTCCCCCAACTTGGAAGCATCTACAAATGGAACAATACGTTAAACACTGATAATCTTTTGTTAAAATACAATTCTTTTGAAATGATAAACGGAAACGATTTTATAAAACATCTCCTACCCTTAACCCTATCCAGACTAGGCTTTTTTAAACTTTCGGGAGACAAAGTGCCCCCCCCTCCGTAATTCCTTTGTCTCTCTGACCCTAGCTAGGACAATGAACTTTGTTTGGATGGTACTCTTATCTATTCTCCACATTTTAGTACTATTGTTCAATTTTTAAGTCACGTGGTTTAACGATGACGTCATCGTAATGGTGGCCGGGTGGAGCAAAAATTTAGAAAATTTTAGAAAATCTTTAAATATTCATAAATTCCAAAGCATCGGGCTAAGATTTTGAAATATGCAAATTTGATGCATTTTCTAATAGAAACAAGAAGAATGACACAATTTTAATGTTATTTCTCAAAATTATCAACGTTCCAACACAAGAACTCAACATATTTTGTATTTGGCTAGTTCTTTCTATATAACTAAATGATCGATACAACCAAATGTCATGTTTAAGTTCATTTTTAATGCCTTAGCAGACAAATTAATCTAAACTTGCAGTTATATTAATGTAATACCTATAAATATGTCAACAAATGTGTGCGCATGCGCAGCAGAAAAATCGTAGAAAAGGATGTTGAATTTATATTTTCTGGTCAGAATCATGAAAAGAGCACAAATTAATGCCTAGATACTAATTTTCATCAATACATCTACTTTTGTTGCGAATCCGTGGCAGATTAAACTTTTTTTTACTTGACTAGTTTTGAAAACGCCCCTACACAGCCCCTGATTAACAAAAAAAATTATCTTTTTATATGAACATGTGTCAAACAGGTTAAAACTAAAAGTCAGGAGTTCTGAGGGGTATTACTTTGAAGCTCCTGAATTTATGAAAGAAAAACCAACTAGGGGCAACCACTTTGTGCCCCCCCCCTAGTCTGGATAGGGTTAAACAAAATCTCAGCATTGCAATCTACAAAACTCCAATATTTCAACAACTTGTCAAAAAGGATACCACAAATCACAAGTAGCCAGAAAAAAACCAGCGCTCTGCATTACTTGCACCAATATTTCCTTTTATAAACTAGCATTAACAAAATCAGCTACTACTAAGCATTGACCTGTCCCCAATAGTATGTACCAACAGTATTACAATAGCTTATTTAATGTCAAAGTACGCCTAACCGCCTATTAGGCAACGACTATGTAAGTTACAAGAACTTCCATTTGGCCTTGTGTCTTTCATGTAGTCAAGAACAAAGATTCCAAAGAAAGGATAGGTAGCGTTTTAACAAAAATTCTTTGTACTTTTTTCCAATAAGTATTCGGGTACAGAGACCAGTAATGTCTTTTCAGCATCAAACTCGTATAAGTATTAATTGCATGGATTATTATTCCTATCAATACTCTCCACGAATCCCAATATTAGCAAAATAAGCTTATATTATTGTCTTCAAATCTTGCATTACTAGTTATAAGAAAGATGTCTAAACTATTTTCCAAGACGCCTGACATTCACAAAAAAAACCTGCTCGCTCCCAAGCGTTTGATAATTCAAACAAATATCGAAACATTATCAAAGAACCAACATAAAGCTAATTTTCTAATAAGATAAAAGAAAAAACTTCCTACCTGCAGCGTTGGATGCTGTTTACAGAACACCCAGTTACATAGCAACTTGTATACTTGGTATTCATTGCAGAGAAAGAGGCTTGAAGAGAATGCAAAGATTATAGCAAAGATCAAAGTAAACAATCTATTGTGTACTCATATGAAAAGACACTAAGAAGTAATAACGAATGATCATTTAGGAAACTAAGCTTGTTAATTGTTTATGATTGAGTGTGTGAATTTTCATACGATGACCTTGTCGTGCAAGGTCATGCAGCAAAAGGTCACAGACTGTATTGGTTTGACACAGACAACGAGCAAACCCAAGTCCAGTTATACGCAAAAACTACACGGTGTAAGATAATATGGATGTAAAAATATGGCTGTTTATTTTGTAATTAAGCCTGATAAAAGTATAACTTCAGAGCAAGCAAAATTTTAAACATCAAGATATAATGAGTACATAGGGAGAAGGGAAACGGGTCCCTCGTTCATTCATGGTTAGACAACCAAACATCTTGAACTTGTCTATTCAATAAAGAAAACTAGCTGCAATTCGGATACTGATTATAATCCAAAATTTTAACGTCATTCCTTCAACAATCAGAGAAAAATTTTTCTTCCACTTCTAAAAATTTCTTTTAAGATTTTGAATAATATTTGTGCACAGTTATGTCTGAGTGAAAAGCCTGTTCAACATTCAGCTCATAAAAGACTTTAGAGAAAATTATTTAGTTTCTGAGAATAAAACAATCAATTACGATCTTAAATTTAAGCCCAACAGACTGACTTAGCCTTACATTCACACACGAATCCTGAAAGCTAGATTTCTTGCTAGGATTCTCTGATAAAATTCTGAGCTAATAGGCAGAGATTGATCAACTAAAAAAATCACCGAATGATCTTCTCTTTTATAGTATTAATCCGTTTGCACCAGTTTAAAATATAAGAGCCTTTTAAAATTACCATATTTGAAAGCTACAGTGACTGTTGAATGGAAGAGAAGTAATATTGCGATGCTCTTTCAACATTGACTTTCAATATCACGTTTGAAATGCGTCCAAAAATCTCGCTCAAAGGCAGAAAAATTGATCGCAATTTATACAAACTGAAGTTTATGATAAGTACATAATCTAAAACAGACTCACTTGTGCGACTTTAACAGCTTTTCCAACAAAGAGCTGCTAAGATGGGCTAAAGCGAATGATGATGATAGCTAAAAAATTAAAACATCATACGCTTAGCATAGAGAACACACTCAGATTCGCAAGGAAACAACTACCGTGAAAAACTTTGGCTAATAATGTTGATTAGACTGGAAATGTCGGCCAAGGCTAGGGCTGGATTAAAGCGACAAGGATTGGTGGGGTGTTAAGATACTAATCGGAATTTGGTTTCCCACCCCTCATATCGCTAGAATATGATGTAAACGCCCATTTTCAAAATTCGGTTTTTAACATTAAGATAAAGAAGATGAGAAGATAAGAAGATAAATAGAGTAAATACTGCTACTGGCTACTAAAAATGATTTTTACCGAAGGAAGCACAATTTACCGAAGAGCACAGAATAATTGGAGCACAGAAAAAGTGCCCATCCTCTACACCCTCCTCTAAATCCGTCCCTGCCAAGAACCGTCCTACATTTTATTTACACGGTATGTGAAATGTGTGAAACAAAATGAAAGGAGGCACTATCTTCAAACGAGAATAAAAATCAAGAATTCCAGGACTAAAGTTATGTTTCAACACAAAAAATGAATCTCGACTTAAGTTAAATCTGAATCCATTTTTGCTTTTGCCTAGAAACCAAAGACATACTTGTGGAATTGCATTTAGCTGCAACCAGTTCTCGCAGTATTTCTGGACAGCTGGGACATCATACTGCAAAAGAAGGCAATGACGTCACGACTCTGTGAGGAACAGCTTAAACTCAAGCTTTGCGAGGGGTTTTACCGAAATCATGCTGGGAAAAATGCGTGCAGACGCGTATTTAGAAAACAAGGGACTATACTTTGAGAATTTTTCACACTCACATAGCCAATCTGCTAAATTATTCAAAACTTTACAACAGTATAGCAGGATAGAAGTGTTTGATCAGTAGCTTGAAATAGAAACAATGATGATCAAAATAAAGCCAAATTCCTGCAAAAAGAAATTGACTCACAGAATAGGGATTGAATGGGAAAGTGAAAAGGTTGTGCGAAATAGCTATATACGCTGGTGGCTCAAGTTCAGTACTACAGATAGTAGATAAAAGATAAGAAAGACAATGATATATGATTTAGGCTCCAATTCTAGTTCCAATAGAGGACTGTTCAATTCCGTAAATTCTAACTCAGGTTCCAAATTCGATCCGTTCTAATTCTGTCTTCTCTAATCAACTTCAACTCAAATCTAATTTTTAACGCATACTTCACCCGTACATTAAATGACAACAACAGCAACAACTACTGTAGTACGTCAAACCAGACGATTTCTCACAAGGTTTGCGAGTGAGTTAACTGGACTTCTTAACTCCTCTTTTTTCTTAAAGAAAATTAATGACAACTTGAATAACAATGAATGACTTTAAATAGGGGAAAGAATCTTCTATGAAATTTCTGAAAATGATGGTAACTTAAAAATTTATTTCTGAGATCGTTCTGAGATTGCAATGCTTTTGCAATGTAGATCCCCCCCTTCTTATTCATACCTTGACGGCAGCTCTGTGAAATATGCATGCATTCCTTGAATCAACATTAGTTATCATCAGATCAATGCATCTATAAGTTGATAGGATAAAATGAGAAAATGACATTTAGGGTAATATCTGCAACATAGTCTTAAGAGAAGAA